CATACTAAATGGAGTTTGAGGTGCAATTGTTTCTAATATTTTTTTAAGCAGTGTTCATGGAAAAGTGATGTCACACTGACTGTACTGCAGTACAATGCTACATCACTGCTGGGGTCACGGGTGTAACAGACCACACTTTTGACCCTGCCACCCACCCTGGCCAGGACTCTACTGCTGGTCCAAACATTACAAAAGTGTGTGATGCCAGAAGTCAATTGACATTATGGTAGAAAGAGCACTGATACATCAATGCACAGTGTCAGACGGTGGCAGCAGGACTGAAACAGCCCCATCATATTTTACGGGCTGACATACTTTCTCACTTATGCTGCATTCAGGCAGATGGTAGACAGCACCTTCCTCACAGCTCGGGAAAACCAAAGAAACAGTCAGATGGAATGGTAGGACGGCAAGACGGAGCATGCATGACAATATGTTGCCATACATATGCTGAAATAAAAAACTGATAAAATACATTAACGGCCTCACCTAATTTTACTGTTCTGCACCCATCAATGAACATGGCGTCCGGTTTGCCTGAATCCAATTATGTGCAGCATTATCCCTTGAGGTATCTAGGCATGCAGATAACTTTCTTTTTATTTGCCCAAGTTTTTGAGATATCCATCTCCAACATTTCTGCCACCAACTCAATAGAAAATTAAAAAAGGTTGTGCTGCTCAAAGCATTGAAAACTTAGGTGTGTCTCATATTCCATTATAGTAGCCTTGCAACAAATGCTACATTTAAGAACAGCTCTTTTGGCCACGCTGTATGTTTTAGCCACACTAGCAGCTAGTGGCAACATCTGTCCACCATCTTTGTCCAAATTGAAATATCTCAACAAAATATCGTCTTTGTTATGACAACTTGACATTAGCCAAAAAAGTGTAAAATAAAATGGCCAAATCAATACATATTTTACTTGATACACTCCACTATAAAGAAATTAATGGTGAATGAAGACCTGGCAGGCACATAATGGAGGGACAGGGCATGTTACTTTAGGAGGGCTTGTATTAGTATGTGTAAAACCATGAATGTATAATACCTTATAATACATCCATGAGTTCAACCCGTGGCTCAGCTCCAATCCTGTATAGCATATAGCTTTGCTGTGGAGAACAGTGTAAAATAGAGGTGTAAGTAATAACACAGGAAATGATGCATAACTATAGCACTGCCCGACTGTTAAAAAAAGAAGACATGCCATATGAATATACCTTTCAAAATAAAAAGGTAAGAGATTATTTGTAAAGCTCTGGCAAGGACTGTTTCTGCCACATTGCAGTCATATGTCACATACAGGGTCCGACTGTCATTAACAAAAATAATGGCGAACAGACAGTTCAAACTAATGTTCTTGCCTGGTTATGATTAAATGTGGAAAATCCAATCTGCTTGTGCTGACTGACAGATGGTCATTGGTCAGGCCAATTAGATGGAGCTATTAGTGGAGCGTAACGCTGCATTTATAATTGAAAACTTAATGTAATGCCATGTTCCTCTATGCTTTGATTTGACGCTTTTGTATTTTCCAGGCATATGTTGTAGTTTGCACATGGTGCCATGTCAAATGGATGTATTTATTTTATTTTACTATATGTATTTCTGACTCATCTCTGGGGACAGTTAACTTACAAAGCTCCTGAAGTTAGCTTAACCTGCTAGCTGGAAGCAGACTACAGAGTCATCACCTAGCAACAAACCCAGCAGCAGTTAGCGACTGTTGGGAAGGTTTAACTGAACTCAGACTGTCCTCGTTACATAACAGAGGTTTCTGTGGGGGAAAGTTGCTGTCATTGTGGTAAAACGTCAAAACAAATGCTGAGAGAGTTGGTGAGTCAGCGATATTCAGATATTAGGGTACGAGGAGAAACCTTCTGGTATAAAAGAAAATGGCCGACAACACAAGCTGCTGGCCACCGTTGACCCCAACGATCAGTTATACAGGACCGGTTTGTCCACTTTCATTCAAGTGTTCATAATTAATAATTACTAATTACTTATTTATCTAATCTAATAAACTCATTCTGTTAGACAGTCAGTAACATTTTAGTCACAATTATCAACAGTTTAGTGTCAGTTAATCCAGCCAGCTAAGTTTGTAAGACTAAATTAACCTTTTTGTCTTTATGTTTTCCACAGATGAAATCCCAACAACAGCATGATTATAATGTTAGAATGCTAACATTTTTACATTGAATGTGTTAGCATGCTGACTAGGCTTGGGAAGTAATGGATTACAGAGTTATGTAATCAGGATACAAAAAGTTAACTGTAATCCATTACAGCTACAAAAAAATCTGATTAAAGTTACATTTAGTAAAAATGGGCATTATTAGCAGGGTTATAATAAAAAACATTTAGAAATTCAAAAATAAAGAATGGTAAGTTACCGTGCACATGCACAGTGCGCACACATTACAACACCAGTCTGGTCTTCAGTGAAACCATTGCTAATCTTACCAACTCTATGTTATCATGGCCTCTGGTGAAAGAAGTGCTTTCACTGGGTGGACATTTCACTATTATTTTGTCTTTATAGCAAAAAAAAAAAGAATAACAACAATCAGGAAGGGGAGCAGCATCAAGGGCTGGAGCAGGCTGACAAAACCAAGTTATCATTCACTCCTAAGTGACAGCTGAGGACTGTGGAGGATCAGAACCAACAAAGAACTTAAACATAAACATAAACATTGACAACCACATACAGATCCCTCTGAGACTGAAGTCAGTGTTGATGATTGGTAGAAACCTTTGTCAGGTTCTGAACCTGAGACAGGAGACAGGAGACAAGGACAGGGGTTGGAGGGCGACCATGGCACCTGAGTTAACTGTAAATGCTCCATGTAAGTGAAACGAGATGTAATCCTGGCAGGAAATCTTTCAGCTGCTCGGAGTGTGGTAGAAGATTTGGCTTCAAGTGGCACCTGCAAACACACACAAGAGTCCATACTGGAGAAAAGCCATTTAGTTGTGGTGTTTGTGGGGAAAAAAATTACAAGGCAGGAACTTCAAAGGAGACACACACCAAAGAGAAACTGTAACGTTTGTTAGTGTGTGTTGCAAAAGATTCACTCGTTGGTCAAACTGCAGAAGACGTAGGTGTGTTATTGAGAGCAGCAACGTAATTGAAACCACAGAGCTTCTGGTGGAGCCGAACTGTCTAGCAGGTTTGTATGACAGTATAACACAGCAGTTTAGCTGGAACATTTGTGTTGTGGTTTAAAGTTGAACCCTATATTATTTTTTCTCATATTTGTATTTTGAAATGCCCTGGTGTTGTCCCTCAGTGATGAAGCAGGCAATGCCATGCTTTTTAAGGTATCTTACTACAGATGATAGTTAATCTGCTGTTGATCATCCCTGCGTGGACTCTCAAAGAGGTGCAAACAACAACAAGGGGAAGCCAAAAAGAGTAAAAAACAACGACCAAAGACATTTATTGTTGTAGTGCTGAATACTGAACAGAAAATCATACCATACTGAAAGCCACTGTGGAGATTTACAGTAGTAACCAGTATAAAAAATGGGTACCAGCCGTGCAACCTTGTTGTAAAATACATCTGGAATATAGTGTGTTTAATTTATATTCTAGATGAATGACCTATATAGACCTTTAGCTTTTGGATGTGCTTTTTGGACTATGGCTGTTTTTGCTTTCCTTACCTTTTTTCCTCTGGTAGCAAAACCTGTGAATACGGCCATGGGTGGGGGTGTTATGTGACTTGACAAGCAGAAGGATCCTCACATGCTTGGCCTGCCTCTGTGCCAGTTCCTCCACCGAATCCACTCAGCACAACGTCAGGAGGAGTCTGAGCAGGTGTATCTGAAAATACTTTGCTGCTTGTTACATGATATTCAGGACTGAGTGCTCGGACATAGCTGAATGGTTCATTCTGCTGCCTGTGTGTAACCACACATGAACCCAGTGCTGGCCTGAGATCACATCCAACCAGCACTTTACTTTCTCTCCTGAGTCCGCCTCTGGGCCTCCATCTGTCTGAATAAATGATACTGATGAGTGAATGGAATTAAAACTGGTGTTGTAAAAGCATTTCCATTCACTTCATTTCACCAGTTCACCATATCGTCTTAGGTGCCAAAATGTGTCAGCCTAATCAATACCATTACTTCACTAAGTACTATGAAGTGATTATGTCTGTGTTTTGAAGAGGGAGAGTGAGTAAAAAGATGATTTTATGTTGCCTTTCCTCTACTTTGAAATAACAATAAAACCTAGTCAAGTTCATTTTATGAGGGACGCCATATTACCCAAGATTTCCTATATTCACTGCTGTTTCTGCATCTACAGCGAGCACTTGAGAAGAGCAGCATATTTTAACATATTTTCCCTCTTAATCTGCAATCACCTTGAGGCCTCTTTGCAACCACTGTGGTGGTATTAGATCGACCTCCTCTTGACTGTCTGTAATGATGAAGTGCTACAGGCCTGTGAAAACTCTCTGCAGCCCACTTCAGTCGATACGCTGCACTTAAAGCTTTTTACTGTGTCTGGCTTTACAGGGAACAGTGAACCCAAACAGTGCAAAAGCCTGAGCTTTGTACGAGTCTGGCAGAAGCTTGGCATCAGTGTGGATTTGTGGTGTACTGGGAGACATTATTTAAGGAATATATTTTTTTTTAATGGGCACTCTAATATCTGTCTGTTAAATATAAAGCTGAAACCAGCAGCTGGTTAGCTTAGCTTAGCAGAGGGACAGGAAAAAGCTAGTTTGGCTTTGTGCCTACCAGCACCCCTAAAGCTTAGTAACGAACATGTTATATCCTGATAGTTTGATCGTAAACCATGCAAAACCACAAAATGTTGTGATAATTAGTAAGCTTTAGAGGTTGTTTCAGATAGAGCCAGGCTAGCTGTTTTCAGTGTCTAAAACTAAACTTTACATTAAAATGTAAAAGATAAGTATTTCACGCTATATCCTGAACATGGTTAGAAAAGAAAAAATTCTAAATATACACAATCAGAGCTTTGGTCAACTGAAATCACTTTTATTGTCAATACAGCACATACACTCAAACCCATAGAAATACAAAAGTTTGTCTCATCCCTTCTTTACAGTGAAGTACAGTATATGCTACAGTAATACACACACCCCTCACACTTGAAATGATATTTACCATGACATTTTCCAATTATCAATGCAAGTTAATTCTTTCTTTTGATTTCGTAGTCAATGAATCAAGATCTACTCTATCTTGGTAAATATCACATTCATCCCGTTTATACCTCACTGAATATGGTCCGATATCACAATAAAATAACAGACAGAAACATAACCTCCTTGGCAGAGGTAATAATAACATCCCAGTGTACATCCATAAATCCTCATTCATCACATCTCAGCACGTAATACACCCTTGTGTCCCCTGATTATCACAAATGGAATGATCTCAACGGGCTGGAGACAGAAACGCCTAAGAGGCCACTTACAAATTATGTTTTCATAACCTGTAGATGTGTGTAGTAAAGTGGGAACAGAGGGACGCCATAAATAAGTTTCTATTTTTCAGTCATGACAACACTAAGAGGCGATCATACATGTCGAACAAAAATCCTCCGACTACAAATGAGCAATAACTTTAACAACATTCACAATCTTTTTCAAAACGCACAATAAAATGGCAGCTTTACCCACTAACATATGATCTAGCAAAACTACCACATAAAGAACTGAAACTGTAACAACTGCAGATCAGCAGTGACATTTGGGTAACGCCTATTTTCTGTCCTTAAAACTTTACAAAAAGGCAGCTTGAGAAGTCTCCCACAAATTCACTTACATATTTCTGGAAATTAAAAAAAAAAGAAAAAAAGAGGTTAAATCTGTCCAACTCCACAATGCTAACTACCAGCCTTAAAATGCCTATTATGTTTGTGCATGCAAGTATGTATGCAAGCCAACTACAACACTAAAGAATGACACATTGATTCACTGGCCCTGAAATGGTAAGTCTCAAAAGATGCATTAAAATGCTGATTTAAAATAAAAATAAAATCTCCACGATGATAGCAGGCATTAAGAATGAAAGGCTAGGTCTGTGCGCATCCTCTTGGACATTCAATCGACTTTCTTGCTGCGCAGTCGAAGCGTGTCCAGCATGCATCTGCAGATGGAGCCCGTGTGTTGCGAGAGGAGTGTGAGGACCTTCCCGTGAAGGAGGGTCAGCAGGGTCTGGTGGCCCGTCGCCCAAACCCGGTACCAAGGCCCGTAAAAGGGATCGGACACGGCCGGGCACAGCATGTTGTTCAGGTTGACCTCAGTCGCCTGGAGGGGGAGCAGAGACGGACAGGTTGAGTAAGCAAAAGTCCTCATATGACGATAAAGCCAATTAGAATAATAAGTACTGTCCAGTTGGATAATGAGGTTTTGGCAAGTGGCACGGTTGACTTCACCGTACATATCTTCTGCTCCAAAAAAACTGTCACTAAATTGCCTGAAGGATGAGTTCATAGCCTGTAAATCCTCCTCGACTTATTATCTGACTGCATAAATAACTGACTGCGGAATGACTCACTTCATTTCATTAGTGATGTTTGCATTCGGGACTTTCTACCTTAGTTAGACGTATATATATATAGATGTTTTAGTGTTTTTCTGATTGTTTAATATCTGCAGACGGTGGGGAAAAATGACAAACACCTTCCGACATTATGCAACCCAATGCAGTGGCACTGCAGTAAATACTGACTCTGTGAAGCTTATAATGGTCACAATTCATACACTTTGTTTTGGGGAGAGTGATCATTGTTACTCTTTGCTAATGCATAGGTTTGATGTGTACTACCATGTGTAATTTTGCAATCACAAGACCACTATTTGGCCTCTTTTTTCATGTATTTTTTCAAAGGTTTGTAAATCGTGAGTCTGCCTCACTTTTTTTTTTTTTAGATAAACTGCTTTCCCCAGACATATGTGCCGTTACTACCCTCTCCCTCACATCCTCTGAGATTGATTTTCCTCTCAGCTAGGGCGGCACAATATGGTAAAAACATCATACTACACTTATTTTGACTGATACTGCGATTGCGATATGATTCACGATTATTGTGAGAAATCTTTCCACTGAAAAAACTATTAGTCATGATGATGTGAAATGTGTTGGGGGGTCTGTACCAAACAAACATGTTTTCTTACATCTGGGGAACAAGATTTGCAGGCCAGGGCATCTCCGCAGTCATACTCTAGGCATGATTGACCTGCATGGGTTCACTTCAGTAAGAATAAACTGACCTGGTTTGATCTGTTTCAATCAGTGCTGCCCAATTTCTTCCCTAAAGATCTCTCATTTCATTGGTTCATTTAGCCAACAATTTTGTGCCACCTGATAGTATTGACCTGCTCATTTTAGGCAACGCAGCTCAGGGCTCACTAACTTTTGTCCCAACAAAGGTTTACAAAGAAACATTTTCAATTTAGTCTTTTCACATACAGCTGTTACTTCATATCAAAATACTGGTTCTGATTAAAGAAGTGATGATAAAACAATCGAAAACTCCAAAATGCTCAGGAGGTTCACATATCACTAGCACTGTATCAGCAAAACAGGAAACTGACTTAAGGGTCACCAGTCTTCAAATAGACTGAACAACACTGGTCTCAAATTGTATACCTAGAACTTGAATCAACATGTACAATACAAACATTAACGCATTGCAAAAAAAATCTATTATAAAAATTCAAAAATAGATGCATTCCAGTAAAAAGGGATCAACCTGTGAAACAATCTAAAATTGTTTAGTACAAAATTAAGAAATCCATAAGAATTGATGATCATCACGTTCTGTGTACGCAAACAATCTTGTTTGTTGTTCTAAATGGTAAATGGTGGCATATAGCGTTTTCAGTTCAGTGTGTATTATGTGTGCTCGTCCTGATGCTGATATTGTGCCTCTGTGTATCACAGTGCACTGCGCTTTATCACAGGTGATAAAATCCTCCCTCACCATTGTGTCTTACATAAAACGGTGTGCTGGTCCTCCTCAACCGGTAACAGGGAGTCGTATTGTATGTTATTTATCTGTGAGGCTCTCCTACAAGAACTGCCTCGTTACCTCCGCTCTCATATAAACTCAGTGTTTACAGTATATACACTGCCAGCTCACAGGCTCCTTTAACATTACTTGTACCACACGTTCAAACCGAGCTTAGAAGAATTGGGACTTTTTTGCGTGTCTGTCCAAACTATATATATTGATTCTTCTCCCATGATCAATATATGTTCAATACACTAATTGTAGTATTTAAAGCACAGTAGTATTACATAGCTTTATATTTCACTGTATTCCTGATGACTACATGAATTAATTACTTATTATTCTCCCTGGAAATGAAACTAGTGACACAAGTGATGGTGTGCTTACTACATGCATGTTGTCAAATATCACACAATGCCCAGCAGAGGGCTCCATCTTACCAGGCCAAGGACTTGCAAGAAGAGGAAGTGGTAGAGGAACAGGATGCCGGTGGAGAGCAGTGCCCACCACATGTCCCCCAGAGGTTCAGGCTTGTACACACCTGCAGAGAGAAACGCTCTTAAAACCACTGAACCAGTCTGTGGGCTAGAGAAGGATCAAGCACGTATGGTTTAACTTCTGTGCCAACCTGTTTACTACGGGCGAGTTCAAATTCTAAAGAACCAAATGCTATTTCTATTTACTTCCCTACTTTGTGACACATCCGTCTAGTCAACAGATGAAACGGCCTTCACAGTTGAACCAGTAACAGGATGTGGTGTCAAACTGGCTTTTCCTGTTTCCTCACTGCTGGCATTTGCTAGAGTAATACCAGAGGAAGGCATAATGTGTACCGATCAGATCACTTTAAGAAGAGGAATGAAGACTTCCTTTTATGTGGCTCCAGTGTGATGTTACTAATGAACAATGAGGCACTGCAGGTTTGATTACTGAGCTACACCCAGAACCACTTGTACCAATTAAACATACTTTTTTAACAAACCCTGGTGGATGTAACCGGTTATTGGAAACGTATCTGTCGTGTTTGTAGTTGTAGTTTGTTTATGGTTTAGGTCTGTTTAATCTTTCTTTAATCATTTCGAAGCAAGTGGTTTCATTTGCACCAATTTCCTGCTTCACATTTACACCCTTCCACACAGTTACACCTGGGAGCTGCCCGGTACAACTTCTGTCTTCTAACATTTGCCACAAAGTGACTCTAAAGGCATCTTTACAGTCATTTCTGGGGGAAATACTGTAAGTGCAGCTGCACAATCTGGTTCCTGCAGAAATGCCTTTGTGTTGTTACACGGCCCAGCAGTCGGAATTACGTACACAAAGGTTTGAAGAAGAGTTTGACGTGCTGTCGGTTATCTAAAGGTTAAGAAAACTGCATATTTTACTTTAGAAGTCAAAATCTTTGCACTGGCTCCTGCAGGTATACCCACAGGAGGAGTGGGATCCCTCCCTGATAAACAAAGTAATCTTTGGAAGACCATTGGAAAATAAACAATATTTGGCTCTCTTCTCCCACTTAAACCATGTTGATATTTGCTCTTCATGTAAATCTTTACAGCAAACGGTTAAAAACAATGAGAGCATTACACAAGAAACAGCAGCAGATGTTTGTTTAGAATAAACAGATGACTGTGTAGCTGAGTCAACACGGTTAAACAGACAAAAAGCAGGAACAGCAACTCCAACTTTGTCAACAAAAAACAAAAAGCGGCATCGTGGTATTATAACCTTGCATGGTCGGCATGTGAAAGTTATTTCACCGTGGGTGTCAATGTGAATGGAATAAAACATACCTCCTTTCCTGAAGAGGTAAAGAGGCACCAGGTAGAGCATGGAGTGCTGGATGTAGTAGATCTCCTTCTCAAACGGTAGCTGTGGAGAGACAGTGACATGCTTAGAGCCTCTTCTGCAGGCTCAAATGGAAATGTCATTATTTTAGAACCCAGCAAGTCTTGTTAGGATGTTTTACTGTGCCAAAGCTAACCTAGGATCAGCCACTTTGAGAAGAAAATGATCGCAATGTGCACAATATGGATAACACAATGAAAATAAAATGACAATGGACTATAGCAATTCCTCTACCCTTTTAATGGAAAAAGAAACACACCCTGCATGACTGGAGACAGTTATTAAGGGTGTAATCTTGAATCTAAATTATTAAGAATTTTTGTCCACAACGTGTTTTTTAATGAATAAATAAAATTTTTACATTAAAGATTTATGAGGACATGATGTAAATTGCCTCCTCAGTTGAGTTAGTTTAATGTTAAAACGGATTAGTGTGCATTCCTCACACTTCTGTTATGGTATATCTGCTGTGAAAACTATTTTACACACACTGACGCTATAAGCAGGCCCCTTCTTACACACCTCAAACGTTCTGTGAAGACATACTTCCTTTGTTTGCAAGAACAAGTTCTTCGTCTAATAGGGAAACAGAGTTATGGCCGAGGCTTTACTTTGGTAATTTTCAAACTGTCAAAGCTTGATGTCACTTAAACAAATCAAATTTAAAGTTGGAGCATTATTTACTGCATCTGGTCCTCGTCTGCAGCTGTTAGTGGAAGCCTAAAAAGCAGGCAGTGATGCTGGCCTCCTTCGGATTTCCTTCACTAAAACAGCAGATTTCCATCATCAATCAAGCTAGTACTTTCTGCCACTTGGCTCCGACATTTTGTCTTCTGCATGCTGGAATTTAATTCTTCAGATTCAGGCTCTAGTAGAAGAACTACACGTCTGAATCATCTCGAAGCTAAGGGATAACGCTCCTGTCGAGCTGTGATAAAAAAAATTGAACACAAACAAGACACCGATCTATGTTAACCTCAGAGACAGAGCAAGAGCGTGCAAGATGAGAGCAGAAGCCTTTCTGAAAGAGATCTTTGATGAAGATTACTGGTTACTTACCAGTCTAGTGTTGACCACAGGGAACATTAAAGCCAGTAACGCACCGTTCAACATGTGGACCTGCAGCCTGAAAACACAGGGGAAAAAACACATCTTCCATCACACCTGGCACAGAGGATCACTTTAATAATCATTTCCACACTGAATGCATCATTCACATATTAGTATGAATTGATTAGTGCTGATATAAGCCAGAGGAACAGGTGGAGGACAGCGCAGATTATGTTGTATGTTGCTGAAAACCAGTCAGGGTCCTCCCTGACACTGTTAGCAGCAGCTGTCTCTCATTCTCTGGCAGAGTGAGGTCCTAGTGGGAGTGTAGACTACCAGAAGTCAGGTCACTGATGGTTCAGGCAATTACAACCTTTCACTCTGTGTGTATGTTGTACAGATTTCACATTTCTATGAGCCATTAAGAAATCACACAAAGTTGCTGTCATGATTGTGACAAATCAGTAACTCTAGCTATTCATTCGTAATTAGTGTACATTTAGAGATAATCCAGTCTTTAGCTGCTTCCATCTCACTCACCATTCAGTACACACACAGCCTGTCTGCTCCTGCAGACAGAGGGAGTTGTGATGCTTGTTCAATCAACTTCTGCACATCCAACATGAGGAGAAATGTTTCTTTTAACCAACAATTATTCTAAGAGCTACCGCACAGAAAAGCCCAAGAGCTTATGTGTCAAAGTGTGGACCTACATCTCTATCCTCTGACTGCTCACTTTGTCAAATGAGCCAAAATAACTGTTGTGACAGCCAAGGTCACTGGGAAAACAGCAGTGCTGTAGGAATGCCAGTTCAAATGAGCGGAGCTGTCACTCTGGGGGCCTCCGGACCTTTTTGAAAACACAGTCTGCTTCATTCAAATTCATATTCACATTTATTGATCATTAGCAACACTTTGGTCCATCTAAATGCCAGTCCTTGCCATATTTGTACATGTATCCACATGTTTCCCTTTACTGTCATCAATATTTACTTTAAGTTTGAGAGTTAAAGCCAGATGTACCTAGTGTTGCACGGTGCACCGATACTT